AAAAGAAAAGAAAGAAAGAAAAGTAATGTATGTGAGACAACAATAACAATGACGAAATTTTTGAAAGAAAACCTTGAAATGGTGGCATAAATTTATGTTCTGGTTCCTTTAACAACAGGATGAACAAGTGCTACCTTGGTCTTTGTAAATTAAAAAAGAAAATTTCCCTTTTTTTTCTCTTTCCACTTTCCCATATCTGAAATAATTTCATAGCGTTTGTGCCTACAGCTGATGGAATAATTTTCTTGATTTCCAGAGAGCAAAGACCACCTTGGGGTGACCTTCACTGTTAAAGCTGACTGTTTCTGAATCCATGTTAAGACAGTGTAAACAAATACATTTAGAGTTATAGACCTCCACTCCCCACCCCGTGATTTTACCTGCACCTTTGGGCATTTCAGAGTCCCAGAATGTAGTAAACACCAGGCAAGCTCTCCTACCTCTTGCTGAGGGGCATGTTGCGCACAGGGATTGTACAGCTCCAGGACAGCATCTTTCAGATTGATCTCTCTAGAAATAGCTTTATTGAGTTTTAATCCCTAATTTTTAAAATTGTTTTACAGGTTCTATAATTAGAGACATATTCCTGGATAGGAACTCATGATCAGGGCTCAGAAAAATAAACCATAGACTTCTGGTTGCTTTGCTCTTTCACATTGTGATACAGAGAGATGCAGCAATTATGAGTATGATAGGTACATTTGAGCATAACTATTGGAGAAAATTAAAAGATAAAGCCTCTTTCACAGTTGCCAATGTATATATCAGATCAAGATCAGCTTGCCTGAAAAATAAAAACAGTAAGTAGCCTCCTTCATACTTCAGAGTTAATTTAGATGACCCATTGCTTTATGTAGTTGGAATTTTTTAAATGATTGCTGCTAGAAAGTACCCTTGAAGTTTCCTAGGAGATCCTAGGAACAGGATGTCTGCCTGATCCTGGGTCTTCCATTTACTCACTAGCTAAAGCTTACTGAATGATTACTGTGCCAAATACTGTGCTAAATATTTCACATGGTTTATTTTATTTCATCCTTACTTGAACATGTCATTTAATCTTGCTGAACCTCACTTTTTTCTCATCTAAGAAATGTGTCATGATTTGTCCACTACTCCATGTGAGTGTGAAAACTAAATTTGGTAAAATTTATAAAAGTTATTTGAAAAGATAAAGCACTAAGATTGGGAGTAAAGTCTGACAGTGAAATTAACTTTAGTCCATTAAACTATACCCTTATCCGTTAGAAGTGTGGCCCAAAACCTGAATGTTAGACTGAGTAATAGTATCCATCTGCTATTTGTAAGTATACAACTCAGTGGCAATAATATATTTTCAGTATTGTGTAACTAACGCCACAATCCATACCCAGAATTTTTTCATCATCCCCAACAAAAATGCTGTAGCCATTAATTAATAATTCTCTCTATCCATCTACCCTTAATTTCTGGTAATCTCTATCTATTAGCTTTCTCTATGAATTTGCCTATTGTAGATACTTCATATAATTGGAATCATACAATATTTATCCTTCTGTGTCTGGCTTATTTTGGTAAGCATAACATTTCAAGATCCATCCATATTGTAGCATATATCAAAATTTATTGCTGAATAATATTCTATTATATATATATGCCATATTTTATCTGTTCATCTGTTGATAGGCACTTAAGTTGTTTCTACCTTTTGATTATTATAAATAATGCTTCTATGAACATGGTTATAGAAATGTTTGTTAAGAGTCCCCACTTTCAATCCTTTTGGACATACACCTGTGAGTTGAATTAATGGATTATATGTAGTTGTATGTTTAAACTTTTTAGAAACCACCAAACTGTTTTCCACAGTAGCCATGCCGTTTTATATTCCCACCAGATATTTAAGAGGGTTCCCATTTCTTCACATCCTTGCTAACACTTGTTATTTTCAATTAAAATTTATTATTATCATTGCAGCAGATATGAAGTGGTATCTCATTGTGGTTTTGATTTACATTTGCTTAATGATTTATGATGCTGATCATCTTTTCATGTGCTTATTGGCCATTTGTATATCTCCTATGTAGAACTGTTTATTTAAATAGCTTGTCCATTTTTGAGTTGGATTTTGTTGCTGTTGTTGAGTTTCAGTTCTTTGTATATTATGGATATTAATACCTTATCAGATATATGATTTGCAAATATTTTCTCCCATTCTGTAATTTGTCCTTTAGCATTCTCAATAGTATCTTCTGATACACTAAAGTTCTTAATTTTGATGGAGTCCAATTTATCCCTGTTTCCTGTTGGTACTGGTGCTTTCGATGTTATAGCAATGAAATAATTGCCAAATCCAAGTCATAAAGATTTACCACTGTGTTTTCTTCTACGGGTTTTATTGTTTTAGGTTCTAAGTTTATGTCTTTGAT